ATTACCATATATTTTAAATTTTTCTATTTACTTTAATTATTCGATGGTGTCCTAGCTCATTAGATGTTATCTTATTAATTATTCGTGATATGCAGGTATCATTCTCAAATTTCTCGTCGTTTTTTCAAATAATATAATGTTATTTTATTATGGTAGTCAATGTGATGTTGTCCTAATTCCTTTTTAATTAATCTTGAGGGGAGGGCATCCTTCTCAAAATTTGCATTCATATAAGGATTATATTGTAATTGTACCTAACCTTTGAATTGTTCTTTGTTTTCTTTTCTTTTTTTAACCTTTCTTCATGTAATCTAATGCACAAATACTATAAAAAGAATTAAAGTGTAGTCAGGGCCGTGGCTGGGGCGGCGCAAACTGCGCGACCGCACAGGCCCTCAAAAAATGGGGCCCCAAAAAGTATATATATAGTGGCATTTTTCTAATAAATGTCATTATAGATGGACCTATTGCGACGTTTTTTCAAAAAAAGCGCCACTATTATTGCGGCTTTATTGATAAAACGCCATTATAGATGGATCTATCGCGGCGTTTGTCAAGAAAACGCCACTATTGTTGCCCCAAAATCGAATATATCTAGAAAATAGGAACCCCTTTATAAGAATTTGTATAGGACCCCCGAAAACCCTGCCATGACCCTGAGTGTAGTTTACCAAGTAAACTTGACATTGCTCTTAACCCATTCATTTGATGCAGCAATGCAATGTTAATTAAATAAATAAAGCTGGTCCAACTCTTTTACGATTGATTGCCAAACAAACGAACTAAATAAGTGTGAATTACTTGAATGACTATCTAAGGGGTTGTTTGTTTGCCTCTTAATGGACTCATTCAGCGTTGAATGTTGAACCGTTCCGCATTCAGCGCGTTTGTTTCGCACCTCTGATGATTCAGAGTTATTATCAAACAATATGTCACATTCAGAGCTAATTCATATAGAATCACTGAATCATTCAGCATTTGAATCATTTAGCGCTTAATCATTCTGAAGTAAACAAACAGCCCCTAACTATGGGATTGGTATCAATATAATCATAGAGTAAATTACATGCTTACTCACTGAATTTTCTCTCTCTCATATTTTACTCTCCGTGATATCAATATTTTCAATTTGCTTTCTGAACTTTATCACTCTAAGATGATGTGGAATATTTTATTATTTTTCTCATATGATGTGTTATATTTTATTAATATTTTTAATATCAAATATGATAAAAATAAAAATAAATTTTAAAATTACAATCATACCGTTAAATTATATCTAAATTCTCAAATTATATCCTAAAGGCTAATCCCCAAATTACAACCCCATCCACCACCACCCTTGGCAAGTTCACCCTCCCATAGTTTGTTGGTCATTTCATTTGATTTTATTATTATCATAATTAAATTTTACTAATATATATTTTCTTTTATTTTTTGTAGGATCATTTCATCGAAGATACATATTTCCATCAATATTATTATTATTATTTATTTATCTTTTATGAACAAGTTTTTCTCTTTGTAGTGTCGTTAATTTAATTTATTTTTAGAATAAATTTAATTTGAATTTTAAATTTAATTTATTAAAAATAAAATTTTAACTCAAAAAATTGTTTAAACTCGATTTTAAAACGTGATATATAGACTTTGACACGATTAATTAAAACAATGGTATCAATGGGGATCGATTCAAGTGGTAAGCATATTGATATTTTTTAAGCAGATCTCAAGTTCGAGTCCTTGTCTATACAGAAAATTCTCATTTAGATACTCACCCAACAAAGTCAAGTGTGTGCCGTAAGTCAGCATCCAAAAAAATATTAATGGTAAAAGGTTCTTAAACTTAAGCATACATATAAATATATTAAAAAAATTAATATAAATCAAAAGGGTAAAATTAAGTCCAGTCCTTGATTAGTCTATTATTCACATTTCTAAAACTTATGAATTGGTTATAGAAACTTTACAAACTTTTCAACTCAATCCAAAATTCAGAACTAATATATCAAAAATCAAATTTAAACCCAAAAATTATTTTAATATCGATTTTTGGCCACAACATATTTGATTATCTTATTAGCACTCGTCTTTAACATGATCAACTAAAGATTATGTTTTAACAATAAAAGAGATCTTGAATATATAAATACAAATACATATATATATTAACAAAAAATCTTAAATATATATACATAATACATAAATTTAAAAAAAAACTTTTGAAATTTATCACTAATAAGATTTTAAATTAGTGGCATATCTAAGATGTCACTAAACAAATTTCCACAAATTTATTATTTTTTTTTTGTTAATTCCTGGTGCCAAATATTAAGTGACATAATATCATGATGTCCTTTAAAATTGTTATATAAAAGACAAGAGATTGTGACAAACAGTTTCTTTCGTTATGTTAAACCTATTTGTGGTACAAATAAAATGTCATATTTTATATCTTAAAATATGTGACGAATCAAATTGTCACAAAATACAACCTATAAGTGACAAATCTGCAACGTCACTAATACAAATAATATCATCATAATAATAAATCGTCGCTAATAGTTAAATTTTATTAGGGATAATTTCATAACGTCATTTTATCTAAACGTCATTAAAAGGTTTCCTACCAAAAAAAATCTTGAGATAAATTTTGGCTCCAAACATATAGTGACGAAAATCAATGGCAATTTTTAAAATTATCATAAAAAATATATCATGAATCACTAAAAGTGACGAAAACGAAAAAAAACGTCACATTTATCATATATTTTGTGACGTGATTTGCAACGTAGTATATAAATTTTGTCATAAATTGATAAATTTGTTGCCCTAACCATAATTTTTAAAATTTCGTCAATATGACCACTTAACTATTTAATTAGCTTCAATATAGCCACTCACTATTAATATTTGACAGATGTGCTGACGTCACAATTAATAAAATTGATATATTTATACATTTGGTCCTCAGTAGTTACATATTATTTTAATTTAATCTTAATTTTAACAGTGCAATACATCTAATTCTTTTTAATCATGGCAAATCTGGAGAGTAGGTTTTCAAGGGGAAGTGTTTCGCGTTGATTGTCTTCAATCTCCCAGAATATCTCCATTTCAAAGGGCTTTGGCTTATCTTTGACGAATATGGTGAGGTTGTGGACTCTTTCATTCCCAAAAAGATAAGCAAGGGGGCAACAGATTCGGTTTTGTTCGTTTTTCTAATATGAAGGGTGCGAGAAGAGCTATTCATAATCTCGAAGGCTCTTATATACAACAAGGGTGCGAGAAATTAAGGTCTAAGGATCAGATTGATTCTCGCGAATTGAGTGATATTTCTTTGGTGGACTTAGCTGTCGGAAATTGATAAATTGACCTGTAAATTTAGAAAGATGCAGTTTTTTATGTTTGTAGAAGCAACAAAACAATGGTTGTTTAGCTGATAAAGGAATGAATGTTGTGTCATCTCTTGTTCTAAGCTTGGTGGTATTTCATAGAGTTTGAGAATGGGGTGGAAATAAATCAAGAGCGAGGCTTAACTGTGAACATTTTGGAAGGTCTAATTTGTAGAAGGCGTGTTAACTGTTGAGTGTTTTGCTTGATTAAGTTTCGTGTAATGCAGTTTTCTTGCATGTAGCAAGGCTTTCATAGAGCTATCTCAATTGTTTACGATCAAGCAAGCTTGTGGGTTTTAATGTGATAATAAGTCGAACCACAATGTGAAACATGCAAGGTCATTAGCAAAGGGTCTCATTAAGTTATTCTATGCTTCATGCTATTGTTAGGTGAGCTTTTAGAATGGGTATTGTCGTGCACTTTGGTGATTCCTTTTAGCAGGAGTGATTTTGTAAGGTTGGAGTTGTGTTTTGTTGGGTGATTTTGTTGTTCCGTGTTGACTCTTTTTATGTTGTCGGGAAAATGTAATCTTTCCTCCTTTTAGGATTAGAGAGATTTTTAACGAGATACTCTCCCTTGAATGTTGTCTTTATAGTTATATTAATAAAAATTATAATTGTCGAGCAAAAAAAAATTAGTCTTAGTTTTAATTTAATTCAAAAACGAAAGTCATACAATTGGTTATTTTGACACATTTCAATAATGACATGTGTGACCACCTAATTGAAGAGAGAAAAATGAGAGGAAACATTTATTGGTAAGAGGAATTGAACCAAAGGCATCAAGCTTTATGTGTCACACCTCACCACCTAATTGGTGGGAAAATTAATTGAATTAAATATTAGATTTAATTAAAAACTCTCTAATAAGGTGTGACACATGTCACTATTGAAATGTGCCAAAATAACTTATTGACATGTGTCACCTCCTAATTAGAAAAATTATTGTTTAAAATTAAATTAAAACTATGACTATAAATTAATAGAATGTGTAACTATTGAAGACTAAATATGTAACTATATCAATTTTATTAACTACCATGTCATCACTTCCCTCATATATTAACATAAGTGCTATATTAAAAACCAATTAAATAGTTAAGTGATTATATTGACAAAAATTTTAAAATAATGACTATATTGACACCAACCCTATAGATAGATGATCATCCATGTAATTTACCTTAATGTAAAGTTATTTCCTTCTCAACATTTAAATATTTTTTAAAAAAATTATAAATTCAATTTTTAATGTTTAGATTTTTTTTATCAATTTCACTTTTACCTTTTTCATTTAAATAGATTAAATTATAGACTGATGATCTTTGTATTATTTTACGTGATGTCAGCTTAGATAAAATACAGATGATAATTCGTGTTTTTCTTGACGTGGTGTTAGTTTAGACATAACTTTGCAAAAACATAAATGATGATATGAGATTTATCAGAAATAATGTTAGATTAATAATATTAAAAGAAAATGTATCTGATATGTAATTATTAAATTATAAACACGACTAAAGAAAGTCGTCCCCAATGCTACAGTCAATAAAAGGCACCAATAATAATTTTTTTCTTTATTTTCTTAGCAGAATAAAACAAACCAAGCCAAGCTCCCCTGTTATTTTCTCTCTTTCACTTCAATCAGTACCCTTTCATGGCTTCTTCTTCCTCTTCTCCTCCAATGAAGTATCAAGTTTTCTTTAGCTTTAGGGGTGAAGACACACGTCTTAACTTCACCTCTCATCTACACCAAGCTTTGAAGGACAAGGGATTTGGTGTCTTCTTCGATGAAGAAGAATTGGAAAGAGGGGAGCGTATTTCACCTGCACTTTCTCGAGCAATTGAAGCATCGAGACTCTCCATCATCGTTTTGTCTAAAGACTACGCTTCTTCAAAATCATGCTTGGCTGAACTCTCCGATATCATGGACCGCAAGAAAACTCATGGTCAAATTGTCCTTCCCATCTTTTATCATGTTGATCCCTCTGAAGTTCGGAATTTTGGTGGCAGTTTCAAAGCATCCTTTGATGTCCATGAATCAGATAGGCCTCGTGATGAAGTGAAGCGATGGAAAGCTGCCTTTGCTGAAGCCGGTAAATTAAAAGGGTGGCATATAGCTGGAGTCCAATTTGACAGGTAAACTATATTTTTACTCATCTTCTATATTTGACTTTATCTTTGGTTTAACTTTTATTTTTTTTATTATCTGCCAGATCTGAAACCCAGTACATTAATAATATTGTTGAATATGTATTAAATAAGTTGATGAATAGTTATTCTGGAAGTGCTTCTGAAGAATTTATCGGAATAGATTATCAGAAAAAGAAGATTTTGGAGCTGATTAAGCAAAATCGAGTAATAGGACTCTGGGGAATGGGTGGTATAGGCAAAACCACTCTTGCTGAGGTTGTTTATATGGAAGTCTCTAACCCTTTTGAAAGTTGCTACTTTCTTCAAAATGTTAGAGAGAAAATAGAAAAAAAAGGGAAGGAATCCGTGCGAAACAAATTTCTATCCGTACTTTTAAAGGACAAAGAAATTCGTATAGACACCCCTTCCATAGGGTATCCTTACAAAGAGAGGCTGAACAATATACGAGTAATTGTTGTCCTCGACGACGTTAATGACTCAGAACAAGTAGACTGGATGGGTGTTAAACATTTTGGTGATGGAAGTAAAATCATTCTAACGTCTAGAGATAGACAAGTGCTTAAGAATGGAGGAGCGACCCAAATACATAAGGTGGAAGAGTTAAATGAGAAGTATTCTCTTCAACTTTTTTCTATTACTGCATTTAAGCAGTTGAATCCTTCTGTTGATTTTCTACATCTATCCTACGAGTTTGTATGGTTAGCCCATGGCAGTCCACTTGCTCTTAAGATTTTGGGTGCTAAGCTATATTCAAAGTCTATAGAAGAGTGGAAAAGTGAGGTGGAAAAAGTAAACAAGTTTGATGAACCCAAAATTTCACACATTTTGAAGAGTAGCTTTGATGGGTTGGATAAACTACAGAAGGATATATTTCTCGACTTAGTATGCTTCTTTAAAGGCGAATCAAAAGAAAAAGTAGAAAAAATTCTAAGTTGCGTGTATAAAGGTGCTGTGAGTGGACTAAGCAACTTGCTCGACAAGTGCCTATTTGACATCAATTCTTACGGGCGGATTTCTATGCATGATATGCTTGAAAAAATGGGTAAAGATATTGTTGATCAAGAATCTAAATACCCTGAAGAGCGTAAAAGGCTGTGGAATCCTGAAGACGCGTATCAAGTGCTCAACAATAAAGTAAGAGTTATTTATATTTATATTTATTTTCCCCTTTCGTATGATGTCCTATGGTTCAGTATCACACTATTTTATATATATATACACGCACGCACACACACTTGATATTATGTAAAATATATATGTTTTAGGATATGGCATAGGATCTGTTATGGTGTTTGTTGGGTTAGTTACATATCTAATGCACTGCTTTTATATAGAAAGACAATAAAAACAAACATGTTTAATTATGTCCAATTAGTGTAAGCATTTCCTAATATAATTGCATTTTATTTACGATTTAACTAGAATGCATGTAATCTTTCTTATACTAATACTTTGGTAAATTGTTTTTTTATATCAGGGAACTGAACGAATTGAAGGAATAAAGTTCGAAATGTCTCATAGTGATAACCTAAAGTTAAGTCCTACATGTTTTGAGAGCATGCCTAATCTTAGATATATCAAATTTGATGTCCCTGAATTTCTATCGAGTTGGGCTAAGAGATCACTTACAAATGGAGATATTGATATTGCATATCTTCCAAATGAGTTAAAGTGTCTTCAGTGGGAGTATTACCCCTTCAAATCTTTATCACTAAGTTTTAATCCAAAGAATCTTGTAGTGTTGAAATTATCAGGGGCCAATATGGAACAACTTTGGAATGAAGATTTTCAGGTATATGCCTTTATGCTTCCTTCATCTAGGAAGAACCCTAATCTAATGCTTACAAGTAAATATGTTATGCGACTAAAGTAAATAGATAATGCTTACAAGTAATACAATTATTTTATATGTTTTTTGTACAGGATCTTGTTAATTTAAGAGAAATTGACGTTTCTTTTTGCGTGAAGTTAAGGAAGATACCTAATCTATTAGGAGCCATCAACCTCGAAAGCCTTGACTGTAAGTTGTGTAGAAGTTTGGTCCAACTTCCTGAACTCCCAAAGATGTTATATCACTTAAATTTATCATTGACTAAAATAGAAGAAGTGCCTGGTTCAATTGAGCATCTGGACAGACTTGAAACGTTGTATTTGAGATGTTGTCCAATTGTCAAATTCCCAAAAATTCCAAGAAAGGTATATTGCTTAGACTTATCTGAAACTCAAATTTTAGAAGTGTCCTTTTCTTCAGAGCCTTCAAATAATATTCAACAGTTGAAGATGACAAATTCCAAGAGCCTCAAATTACTCTCAGAGCTTCCATCAAACCTGAAGTACTTGGATACACATGGTTGCATATCATTAGAAAGTGTATCTTTCACTGATCGAAATTTCTATTCTTTTGATGGTGAAAGGGACTACACAATGATATTCTCCAATTGTTTCAGCTTGAATCAAGATTCAGTTGATAACATCGAGGCAAATGCCATGCTTCAAATTCAATTCCTAGCGGAGAAATGGGAATCAAGATATGATCATGAGTTCTCGATTGATCCCGAACCAAATTTGTTTTATTGTTTTCCGGGAAACAAAATTTCAGCTGATAGATTTGAGTATCAGAGCATGAATTCTTCATTAAGTTTGAAGATAGCCACAAGGGGGAGTAGTGGGAGAAGATTATTAGTTTTTGCTATATGTCTTGTGGTCGATCTCACTGACTGCGATAGCTTTGGAAATCTTAAATTTATCTGTGAATATCAACCGTTAGTCGCTAGTGGTAATGATGGTGAAGGTGGTTTTAAAAAGTTCAAAAGTAAATTATTTTTCAGGGAAATTGCTTGGAAGATTTATGAGAGCAAGGGTGATCATGTTTTCATTCTATGTGGGAAGGATATGGTTAAAGAAGACCTGAATTATGTGGAGGCATCGTTTCAATTCTACATCAAACATCTCCCATTCATTAAGAATAAAGAAAAACATATCAAAGTGAAGAAATGTGGAGTTCATGTAATTTACGTGGATGCAGAGAGTTACACCATTACTGATGTTATGAGATATGATAAATCCAACCTCAATTTTGATTCCCAAGGAGATGCTAATACTATGGAACCCCATCACCATTCAGCTACAGAAACAAGCACAAGGAGATCAAAGCGGCACAGGGTCGGGTGATTGGAACTTGGAAATACATTTGCTTCTCTATCACATCTGATAACTGCACAAATAAGTTATTAGTTAATCTCTTATTATATCAGATGCAGAAACAACAAGAAGGGGATCAAACCGGCACAGGGTCACAGGTGATTGGAAATTAGAAATACATTTGCTTCTCTTTACATCTGATAACTGCACAAATAAATTAGTATTAGTTAATCTCTTCTTATATCATTATACAGGGCATTGATCATGTTGTTGCTGGCACTAGCATCCATGTCGTTGGTCCTGATGATGATGATGTGGAAGATCTCGAAGAAGATGTGCAATCAGTCATGAGTAGGATTGACAAAAGTGGCAAAGTGTTCTACATGCAGGTATAAGACAATGAAAACATCATAAGTAAATATTCATGTTAGTGGTATCGACGTAGGCCCTGTACACAAATAAGACATAATGAAGGGATTAAACTAATGCTGATTGACGGAAGGAGTGGGTACTTGTTTTTGGTGTGAATCGGTTGATGAGGATGTCAATTACCTGTTTGTTTGTTAATTGCAGATTTATACAGGGTATCTGGCTATCTTTTGCACATTGGTGGAATGTGGCTTGGGGCGATTTGTGTAGTGTCGAGGAGTTATTTAGGTTTTGTTTTTCCCTTTTTTCATTCTGAAAATTTGCAAATTGTGTGGTTAACTTCGTGTTCAGTCGCCTTGTGGAGCACTTGGTTGGGTCGAAATGAAAATATTTTCCATGATAAGCGACTATGGGAGATTGACGAACTGTTAAAGGGTTTTGTCTGTGTGAATTATATTTCTGTTGCAGTCTCGGGCAGTTCCCTTGCGCTGTTGGCTATTGAAGGTTTAGATAGGTGTGATCTGTTCAAGGCATGGTGGTAAATCTTTAAGTTGTTGTGGTTGGCTCGATTTTTTAAGGAGGTCTTTGGGGAGGATCCTGAAGCAGTGTTGTTCTAGCTGTGTTCTTCATTAACTTGTTTTGCATTTTTTTTTTTATAAATCAAACTTTATAATCCAAGAAAGCAGTCCTATCATTAGTTCTGGCATTCCTAAATCACCCTACTCCGGTTGGATTTGGGATTCTATGATCATTTCCTCCGTTTGACCAATACTTATCGAACTAACCTCCATGTGATTAACCTGGTTTCCAACTTCCATAGTAATTGAATCTGGTTAAGCCTATCATTCATGTTCACGATTTTAGGAGTCCTTTATCCTTTTATCTTTGAGGGTTCAACTCTATCTGTTTTCCTTTATCCTGCTTAAATTCATTCGGTGTCCCACTTGCTTCAGTTTCCATTTAGTTGTCATCGTGATTTATAACTCCCATAGCTCTTTGACTATTTCCTGTGGTTTCTCCCTCTGGTTTAATCTCATTGGAAACTACTTCGCTCAAGACTAAAAAACGGTTACCTCCCTAATTTTCTTGAGCGTTGTTTTGGCTTTTTTTGCTAGCTCGCACCCCTCTTTGTCATCTTTGCGCCAACATCCAGGGGCCATACCTACCTTCATTGCTGGTTTCTTGCTTCGCTTGTTCTTCGTCGTGCTGATCCTCATGAAATTCCTGCTGTCCAGCCTTTTCTTTTGTATCCTTCTCCCCTTCTTTTTGGAGATTATCAAAGTGTCTTGACGGGCATTGAACAGATTTGTGTCCCACCACAAATTTGGTGTAATCCTTCATAATCTATGTTGAGGGTAATGTTGCCTATCATAATTCTGGATGACAGGGGTTTGTTCAAATCCACTTCCACAAAGATTCTTGCAAACCTTCCTCTCGTAGTCCACGCCGTACAATGATCCATTTTCAATGGAGTGCCTACCAGTTTGTCAAAGTTAAGAAGGATGCCTTCATCGAAGTATTCTATCGGAAGACCCAAATGTGGATCCAGACCGTTGTCGATGATTTGTTAAACTTTCTCTGCGAAAAATTTTGGTTTCCATTTCTAAACGGTTAGGTAACGATTCATAATTTTCCAGGGTCCTTCCGTTAGGACTTTGACCCTGTCATTTGCACTTTGAAGTTTCACTGCGTAGAATCCGTTCCTCAGGTCAATGCAGTCGAAATCACTTTCTAATTTTCACATGCTTATGATTCTACTTGACAAAGTTTTGTAGGCAATGGTTCTTCCCAAAACTTTGATGATTAGTGCTTTTCGCAACGGCTTTCGAATTCTTTGCTTAACATCCTTGTGATCTTTGTCGTAGGTATTTCATCTTCCTCAATCTCGGATTCTTCGTCGGATTCCATTTCTTCTTCTTCAATTCTTGTTGAACTATTAATGATCTCGGTAAAGATTGGTGAATCTACCACAAAGTCCATCCAAGATGTTGCCCATGTTCTCTCCATCGTTGATTCTGTTAAGACACGTGTGTAAAAAATACCTCATTTTTTTATTACTCTAAAATACTTGGTACAATACTGTATTTATACAATTCAATTACACCAACTAATTTACTAACTAATTGCTAACTAACTACTAACTAATTGTTAACAACTAACAAACTTTCCAAACTACTTCTCAACACTCCCCCTCAAGTTGGTAGTCTAAAGATATCCTTGACTCCCAACTTGGAAATTAAATATTCATGTTGTTGTGCTCCCAAAGCCTTGGTCAAAACGTCAACCAATTGATTTGCTGATGATATATAAATTGTGCAGATTACCCCATCTTGTATTTTCTCCCGAATAAAATGACAATCTATTTCAATATGTTTTGTTCTTTCATGAAAAATTGGATTTGCTACAATATGTAATGCTTCCTTATTATCACAATAAAGTCTAGCTGGTTGTAGGTTCTTGACACCCAATTCCATCAACATACCTCTTAACCATACAATTTCAGCTGCTACCATTTCCATACTTCTGTACTCTGCCTCTGCTGATGATCTTGCTATGGTATTCTGTTTCTTTGACTTCCAGGAAACCAAAGAATTTCCAAGTTTAACACAAAAACCAGTAATTGATTTTCTTGTCATCAAACAAGCTGCCTAATCAACATCACAAAAAGTTGTTGGGTTGCTTTTTATATACTTAACCACTCGAAGTGCTGCTTCCAAATATGATCTTTTGGGTTGCTGCATGAATTGAATAAGATGATGTACTACATAAGTAATATCTGGTCTTGTATGAGTAAGATAGATTAATCTTCCTATTAACCTCCGAAAGACTTCCTTTTCATTTTGCAACATTTCATCATCTATCTTCTTCTCATCATTTTCTATCAATTTCGAGTCATAATCAGCAGAAGTAAACTTAATATTTTGTTCCATATGAGTGCAAACATATTTAACCCCTCCTAATCATGTTTCTTCAATGAGCTCTAGTGCATACTTCATTTGGTTTAACAAAATCTCTTCACTAGATCTAAGTATTTCAAAACCAAGAAAATACTTAAGTTCCCCTAAATCCTTCATTCTGAAATTAGCATGCAGAATTCCTTTCAATTCATCTACCATTGCAGCATCATTACCAGTAATCAATACATCATCAACATATAAAAGCATGATCACTATGTTTGTTCCTTCTCTTTTTGTAAAAAGTGAGTAATCAAACTTACTTTGAATGTATCTAGCAGCAACCAAAGCTTCAGTCAACCTCATGTTCCATTGCCTAGAAGCTTGTTTGAGGCCATAAATAGACTTCAGCAGTCTACAAACCATGTTCTCCCCTGGCTACAGAATCCCTAAGGTAACTTCATGTAAACTTCCTCAATCAAATTTCCTGAAGAAAGTCATTGTACATATCCATTTGAAACAAAGACAAATGTTACATAGAAGCCAGGGCTAAGACAGTTCTCACTGTAACAAGTTTAGCAACAGGCGAGAAAGTCTCAACATAATCTACACCCTCTTGCTGATTGTAACCTTTCGCAACCAAACGCGCCTTGTAGAATTCAACCTCACCATTTGATCGAAACTTGACCTTATACACCCATTTGCATCCAATGGGAACCTTCCCTGGTGGCAAAGGAACCACACACCAAGTATTGTTTGACTCTAATGCTTGAATCTCCTCTTGCATGACCTTAATCCATAAAGGGTCTTGAATGGCCTCATTATAACTAGTAGATTCAATGATAGAAGTAGAAGAAAGAAAAGATTGAGTGTGAAAAGGAAGATGAGAATAAGAAATTTATTCGAAATGGGATAAGAGCTAGAGGTGGATGATTGGCAGGAAACATACTAATTTAACCAAAAAGGAGGCTTTGACACCCTATAAGATCTCCTAACAACTTGATCAACTGGAACAACAACATTAGGAGAAGAACAAGAAATTGATGCAGGAGACACCGGACGAGGATCATTAGAAGAATTAACAGACTGAGACTGCTGAGAAGAAAAAGAAAGATGACTAAGATGACTATAAGAAATATCTGTTAAAGACAACTAATGAACAAAAAATTCAGAATCAGGAACAAAAGGTTGAGAAGGGAATAACCTGGATGACAACTCAGGAGAATGAAAAGGAAAAGAATTTTCATGAAAACGAACATCCCTACTAACAAAAAATCTTAGAAACAAGGCTAAACATTAAATATCCCTTTTGAGTAACAGCGTATCCCATAAAAACTGAAGGAACAGCTCTAGGAAAAAACTTATCACGAGGTTTAGTATTAGTAGCATAACCCAGGCAACCAAAAACTTTTAAATGAGACAAAGATGGTGGCTAATGATGAAACAATTCATAAGGAGATTTCCAATCAAGAACAACATAAGGAAGTTGATTAATTATGTAACAAGCAGCTAAGACACACTCTCCCCAAAACTTAATAGGCATTTGAGACTGAAAATGAAGTGAACGAGCCACTTCCAATAGATGTTTATGCTTCCTTTCAGCTACCGCATTCTGCTGAGGAGTGTCAACACAAGAAGACTGATGAACAACCCCTAAATAAGAGAAAAAAAGAAGAACATTTTGTGGTAAAAAACTCAGACCCATTGTAACTATGAATTGTTTTAATAGAGGCATGAAAATGATTAAGAACTAAGTGGGAAAACTTTCTTAAAGAGACAAGAGCATCAGACTTAAGCTTCAACAAATACACCCATGTCATTCTCGTGCAGTCATCAATAATTGTAAGAAAGAACCTATGACCACTATGAGTAGAAATCCTATATAGACCCCATAAGTTCATATGAATCAATTGAAAATGAACACTAGACTTAGACTGACTAATCGGGAATGGTAACCGAACCTGTTTAGCTAAGGGACAAACAGAACAATAATGAATGACAGAAGAATCCAATTTATAATCAATCAAAGGTATAAGATGCAATTTCAAGAAAGAAGCATGACCCAACTGAGCATGCCAAATAGAAGTTTTATTATCAACAAAAGACATACAATGAGATTTAATATTGAAAGACATACTGGAAACTTTAGAAGCAGGACTAGGAAAAAAATAGATGACTTAAGAACATATAAGCCTCCTTGTTTAGGTTTAGGGTTTATGATTTAGGGCTTATAGTTTAGGGTTTGTATAAACTATATACTTTATTACTTTATATAGTTATATAGTTTATGCATAGTGTTTCTATAAACTATATATATATATATAATCTATAGATTACTTATATTAGTTATACATACATATATATACTATATTAATATAAATTATAATTTATAAACTATATACTTTACATAGTTTATACATATATAGTTTATACATATATATATATATATTAATATAAATTATAGTTTATAAACTACGTACTTTTTATAGTTTATAAATATATAATTTATATACATAGTTTATATATATAGTTCATATAACCATAATTTATATATATAGATTATAATAATTATATAGTTTATAATATAAATATAGTTTATATACATACTTATATTATATTAATATAAATTATATACTTTAATACTTTATATAGTTTATATATTGTTTACACATAGTTCATTAATAAATTTTACATTTTATAGATAAA